ATGGTTAATTATAAACATATATTCACTCTATTGTGTCACTTAACTAGGTCTTGGACGTAACTCACAACCCAAACACCCAAACACTAGCACAAATGAGAAGGATTGCGCACATTCCATTCATCACCCTTTTCATGCCCGAATCTAAACATTTGAGGTTCTACATTGGACCTAAATTTGATACCATATTAAATTTAATCTTGTATCTAACACACACTTCAAAAGCTAACTATTTTTATTTTTTTTACCTAAATCTTATAAAAAATCCTAAATTTCATTCATCATCAATGTAGGACATTCCAATTATCAAATACCTCTCCTTACCTTTTTTTCTTTCTTTCTAATTTTCCCTCTTTCAAAGTCGACATACAAAATGGAAAGTAGGAGTACTTAAATTATTGTTGATGTGATTAAATAATGAGTGGCAATTATGAAGTACTCCCTCCGTTCAAAAAGAGTGGTCTGGTTTGACTTGATATGGAGTTTAAGAAATTAAAGAAAACTTTTGAATCTTGTGGTCCTAAATTAAAGTTATGTCAAATGTACAAAATTGCTCTTAATCTCGTGGTCTTAAACATGCCACGTGAAAAATTAAAAGTAAAATGTTATAAAAAAAGATAATTCTTTTTTAAACAAACTAAAAAGGAAAGTAAGAGGAGTACTAATTAAGGCTTCTTCTTTTTGGGAGGTGGGAATCCATTCTGATTGTGGAAATCTCTCATCATCGTAAATAAATTAGTAATATATATAAGCATTTTCATTACAAAATTTTGAGATACATGAATCCATACTTTATAATATTAAAAGGAAATCAATTATTGAGCCCAACTTTTTTTATGATGAAGGTTAGCCCTTTCCATTCCATCCCTTGAAATTTCCCTCATGATTTATTTTGATAAAGTTAAAATAAGATATAATATATATATATATATATATATATATATATATATATATATATTATATCTTATTTTAACTTTATCAAAATAAATCATGAGGGAAATTTCAAGGGATGAAATTGATAGGGGATAATATATATATATATATATATATATATATATATATATATATATATATATAAAACTGAATTATCGAAGAAAAACAAAAGTACCTAACACCCATGCCCATTGCTAAGATTTTTCACATATCACATATTAGGGGGCGAGTCTAGAAATTCAAATACGAGTAAACGTTGATATATGCAAATATTTGTTTGTGCCCATTACTATTATATACTTATCCGTTATGAACATAAGTGTCGATATATATATATAGAATGATGTCGCATCACATTGATTATATCGGAATATATTGTCACATACTGTAGCCTCACTTTGCTTGTATATACTGGAATTGAAGCATTCGACTTTAAATTTTGAATTTGCCTCTCTCTGCCCAATCATCAATTATCACACATCTTTATGTATTTTTGTAATTAATTAAATTTTAAGGAAAATTAATAGATCACTAGCTTAGAAAAGGGCTGCAGATTTTTTTTTTACAGTATTGAGTAATCACAAAACGTGAAATGAAATGTGCTGCTAATGATTAGGAAGTGGATTATTGGTTGTTTAATTTTTTTTTTTATTTATATAGTATAATACGCCTCTCACCCCCAACTACATTTTCTATTTACTTATTATAATATTATTTTATGTTCATTGCATTTAAATTTAATTCTTGCATAATATATTGATATATTTGCTAGCTTTAGGAATTAAGATATACCATAGATTCTGTATATGATGGTTTTTACTTTCAAGTAGCACCTTTTGATCTTTATCTTTATATAAGTACTTCTTCTGCTATTTTTTAGAACAATTTTTTTAAAAAAAAAAATAGGTGGGGCTTAAATAACCTACTAATTCTAGCTCGTCGTTAAGGAATTTTCGATTGAAAGTTAGGTTAAAATTTTATTTATAGACTATATAATATAAAGAGATTGGCTTTTGATATTCGCCGACCACCTATGCAATTATAAGCTCACGTTCTCATGTTTTTGTGTTTATATATAAAAGGAGGTACCTAGCTCAAACAAATAAGGAAACAAATAATTCTAATATGATGGCACGCAATAGCGGACTAGATTTTTCATTAAATGGGGTTAAACATATGAAGAGTCAACATACGAAGAAGTTATAGTGAGTTTTACATCGATTATATATACATAAATATAATTTTAACTATATTTTAACAGTGACAGAGCTATAATGTCCCGAGGGTGTCTCCTTCCCCAAAAAATTATACCATATATATATGTAAATATTATTTGAAATGGTTAAATTTAATATTGTGGACATTCTTAATACAATAAGATGTTGTTGCCTAGTGTTGTGAGGCTCTCCTCTTATGCTCACACTGTAGGCTCGAGTTTGAATCCTCATAGCTGTATTTTATAATCATTACTCTTCTATTTTATTACTACTCTTATTAACTTGCTCCTTCAATTGTCTAAGCTAATTAAATTACTTTCTAAATAATAGTTATTAAATTTGTGATTTTTGAACTAATTCAAATATAATTCATCAAAACGATTCTTATTTAGAAATTTACATTTAGTAGCCAATTGAATTTTCAATGAATTTGACCTTTTATTTCTTTTCATTAAAATTTGAAATAAATCTTAAATGTAATTATTTAATTTAATGTTAATAAACAAATTCTAAATTATTTCTATAAAACTGCTAAAAGCGAACAAAAATCTCTGAGTCTCTAGTTCGTTACCTTCTACTACCGATCTTCTCCCTCTGCTGCTACTGGAGCTACTGGATATCGACCTAAGAGATACTAGACCGGGTGCGAGAGGAAGGGATGCTGCTATTGATGGACCGGTGCTACCTCTGGATCTAAGAATCATGGAAGACATAAACATCTCGTTTGATTCTGCTTCCATTATTGATGTCTCGTTATTGTTGTCGTCATCAAAGATTAGTGAAAGCTTAAAACGTAAAAATGATTTTATTTAAAGCTAAATCCGCCCACCCATTTTATGCTTGTTCATTCAATTCATATATATTAAATTAAACAAAAAAAAATCTAAATATTATGCAGTTTGATATTTAAAATTTTAGAACATTTTTTCGTAAAAAAAGGTAGTATTAATATTTTAAATTTTTCAGTGCATCCATTCATAAAAAAAAATTGTTTATGTAATACTTGGACACCCTTCGTAAAATTTTTAGCTCCGTCATTATGTTTTAATAATATAATTTTTCACTAATGATTAAATTCGGATGAACATCCTCGACTCTAAGTGGCTCCGCCCTGATGGCATGTCATCTACAATGATAAGGGGAGTATTAGGCCTTCTTTTTGCCCAATCACAATCACTTTTTGGAGTAATCTTCTTTTCTTTTCTTTTTTTATATTTTGGGTTTGGTTGTAGTTCTGGACAATAATTTAGACTCCACAAGGCAAACCAATTTAAAGGTACTAAAATTTGGAGTTTGGTAATAATGATCATTTTAGCCTATTGAAATAAGACACTTTTATTTATTTTAGGTTCGTGGTACACTCAATACACATATTCAAAAAAATATATACTCTATATTTTCTTGAACTAAGCACGCAAAGTTATTTATGATGAGTGACGACAAGATTGTAACTCAAAAACTTCCTACATACACTTTAACTTTCTTTGTCATCAAAGGAAAATGGAATCATACCTTAGTTCAGGATCTCCCTACTTGTATGTAGGAGGTCACGTAAAATTAGTAAGAATGTTGATTATGTTGTGTAAACTGCATAATGATGAACGTTATCCCAAATTCCAAACAATCTAACGTTAGAAATACCGTATACTTAGAAGTGACTTGCGTTTCATAATCATAAATGAAACTAAACTTTGAAGTTTATGGATTCTAAATTTTAATTTTTTTAAATTATTGAGTTTTAAATTAATAATCTATTCATATTCAACTAAATTATAAAAGGGAAAATTACGCATATAAGAAAATATATACTAGTTAATTAGCTAAAATAGCTATAGTTTGAATTAATTACGGCTCACAGCTTACTCTTAACTGTAATTACGTCGCTTATACATATACAAATACAAATTATACATATGTATATATATTCAATTAGTCTCTCTCCACTCTTTGCCCTCTCTCGCTCGCCTCTCTCCTCCCTCTCTCAATCTCTCCCGCCAGATATACAAATACATATGTATACCAATTACATATATACAATCATTTGACAGATATGCATATATAATTTGACAGATATATATACATATACAATTTGTCTCTCTCCACCTTTGCCCTCTCTCCTCCCTCTAACATGTAGCTACGTATCGTAATTAACAAACTATAACCATGAAACATAATTAAGTTATATTTGAGTGGATATATGCAAAAATAAAATAAAAATAAATTCCCATTTTAAAACAAATAAACAATTTGTATGAGCACTCAAACTTGGTCCAGGAAGTAACGGTAGACTCGATGGCCCAACATAACTGTCCACAACGTTTTTGGGCCTTCAATATTCCTTCTTTTGTGATGATTTCTGCCTTTGGAAAAATGTTGTATGTTATACCAAATAATCGCTGAATTTATCATCATTTTGTGGTCGGATTATTTAGGGATTATGCAAAGGTGAAATCAAATTTTAATTCTAAGGGTTCTAAATTTTATAATAATGATTTTAAGTGTTAATGACTGTGTTCTAAACTTAATATTTATACATATTTAATAAACTTCTTAATACATAGACACTATTTGAGCAAAAGTTATTGAGTTCGACTAAACCTATACCAGGGCTTCTAGTTCTGCCCCTGCTTTATGCTCTGAATAATTTGCTGTGTAGATCAAATAACGCATCAGAAATTATACGCTCTCTTAAATTGTATTATAAACACTCCACACACCGACATTATCAATAACTAATAATATAAAAATAACATAATACATACAAATTGCTATTTTAAACTCATAGCTATATATACATATTCCTATATTTAACTTACTATTCATATATACTTTAGTACTCAATCTATATTTTTGGATCCAACATGAGTCTTAATGTAGTAGGTGGTAGTTTTCATCATCTTCATCAATATTTGAAGGACCATAAAACATTCCTCCCCACTTGGGGAAGTAGACTAGTGTAATAGGCAGAGTAAAGACAATCATCATTAAGCCCATAATTGATATGCTTGTTTGAGTTGAGAATTTGGTGGAACCTGAAAATAGCAGGAGTTGTGTTATAACTGCGCCTAAAGTCCCACCGCTTCCTGTCATGCCTGATATTACACCTAACGACCTGCATACATCAAGTAGAACAACAGGACAAATTACTTATAGAAATGAGTTGGGATTATTTTAGGGCAATAAATTAATGTGAAATTGAGCTGCTTTTTCACTCTACGTGTCTTATTCTGAATCATAATTAGTATGACTTTGCTTGCTACTATTTTCCTGTACGTACATGCCGCTATCGAGTCTCCTGTCACCATTTCTGGAATGTTTACTTGAAAGTTTGTAATGAAGTTATCAATTTATAAAATGAAATTGAAAATATGTTATTTATTAATTCGTTGTTGTATGATAGATATTTTGTAATGAATTATAGTTAGTTCATTTAGTAAAATTGTATAAGAGTCGGAAGTTCGATAGTTTTAACACTTCTGTCCTAGTCGAAAACTTTAGTTTTTGCAGTACAAAGAGGAAGAGAATTTCAATTCCCCTTCTGTAACTGACACTTGAAGGAGACTTGCCATTATTCTTAAGCTGTTCAAAGTTTAACAACTACCAATTAATGGGAGACGTTTGATTGAAAATGGAGTTTAAAAGATTTTCTTTCTTTAAATTCGTGATTTAAAATATATTATAAAAAATTCTATCGCTGTCAATTACTTCACTAAACGCCAAAAAAAATTAAAACGTTTAAAGTTGATTTATGAATTTACCTTTTGGATACGAATGGCACAATGCCAAATGTGAGTCCTGAAGCAGCTTGAACAAACAACGAAAAGCACGCCATAACCAGAACAGACGCCCAAACTGTATTCACTCGGCCAAGCAGCACGCACATCAATCCAGCCACCATCTGCACCGCCCACAAACTCCATAACCGCCCTCTCATCCCAAATCTCTTCCCCATTTTATCAGAAATTATCCCGCCCACAGGCCTCGACACACAATTCGCTAGCCCAAAGCTTGCTGCAATACCCCCTGCCATTTCAATATTCACATGAAACCGATCGTAAAAATACGCTGCTATTATATTATCGGTAGTCAATTCAACTCCGAAACAAAATCCATACGTCAATCCCAATAGCCATCCCCTGTAATTCTTCAGCCCATTAAAAAGTACGCTGCAGAAATTTTCACTTTGATTATTTGTAATTTTACGTTTGTAGTTTCCATCAGGCAAGTCCTGGCCGTATACGAGTACCAAAATCGCTGTTGCCGCTTGAAATATCGCTGGGAAAATAAACGCAATACGCCATGAAATGAACGAAGGAATGTTAAAGCTTGTAGTGAACAGAGTATATACGAGCGGCATGACTAATTGAGTCACGCCAGAGCCTACATTTGCCCAACCGGCAGCGAATCCATTAGCAAGCCCAACAGTACATCCGGAGAACATAGAGCTCATCCAAAATTGACTCGCTACGAAATTAGCCAAGCTAAATCCGATAAGGAATCGAACTAATATGAAGCTTTTCGCAGAGGAGATTAGAGAAGTCGAGAGGACTACCGGAGCAGTGAGGAGTGACAGGGTGGCGGAGGCAACACGTGGACCGAACACGTCACAGGCAGGTCCCATCGCAAGGCGGGAGAAAATGGAACCGATGAAGGAGGCGATTCCGGCTGTGCCGATGTCGGTTTGGGTGAGATTGAGGTCCTTACGAATAACTTCGAGAAGTGGAGGGATTGCGAAAGTAGAGAAGAAACAGGAAAATAGAGAGAGCCATGCGAGATGGAAAGCTCGCATGTGAGGTGAAGATAATGAAAATGGGCGGAATTCTGTGGCTTTGTGATCATAATCTACGGCTATGGAGAAATTATTACGAGAATGATCGATTTTGGACTGTGATTTCTCTTCTTCCATGGCTATTGAGTGAATTGAATTTGGAAAACTTGAGCAAGTACTATATTTATAGTGAAGGTTAACGTGAGTAGATTGATGAGAAAACAGAGCTTCCAAGCACCACCTTTTAAACTTGAGACCCGTTATCGTGAAAATTGTGAAATTTGAAAAAAAAAAAAAAAACTTTTGTTTTTGAAGTGATAGTCGTATTTGTATTTGAATATTAAAATTGTGTTCGACATTTGCAAATTTTTAAATATAAATTTATGCGATTCAAAGTATTGAGTTCAAATAAATTTAACACGCCTATGCTGCATGAGCCAATGTAGCAAGTGTGTTGTGACTACTTCCGCAAATGGACAGAAGATGCATTTAAGGTTACATGGAGGAGTTAAACTTGTAATCTTCTTTTGACTCCATCAACTTGTTTTATTTAGTCTAAAAACCTATTCTAGTCACTGATTTGAATTTGTGTGACTCTTGTATCTCTATTTTGATTATTATTATTCTTTTCTTTTTTGTCCGAGCAAATAAATTTAAATGGGATAATATAGTCTTGAAGAAAAAATATTTATGTGCTTTGGCATAATTTTGAATCATGTAAATCGTCTCATTAAAATGAGATAACGAATAGTCGAATACTCATACACAAACACGAGTGTAGGTACATAAGCTCTTTTAAGAAGTTATGTTTTGAGAGTGCCTTCGGTGGAAGATAAGATGTAGAAAGTGATGTTTAGATAATTTGGGCCTGTGATGAGAAGAAGCACGTATTTTCAGTGTGGAGGTGTGATAGATTGACTTGGGATGAATTCAAGAGAGGTAGAGGTAGACGGAAGAAATATTGTGGAGAGATGATTAGACATGACATGGTGTAGTTGCGGTGTAGTGAGGTCATGACCTTAGATACAAAGGTGCGAAGGAGATGAATTAGGGTAAAAAAGTTAGTAGGTAAGAGGGCGTTCATGCTAGTAAATGGGTGAATGTTGTTCATGCTAGTAAGAGGGCGTTCATGCTATGCTTATAGTTTAAGGTTCTTCGATTTTATTGATATATATCTGTTGTTTTGTGTAGTTCGATTGTAGTATTATTTGGTTGTCATACTATTCTTCTACTATTTGTTATTTTGTTACTATCTATTGTCTCATGTATTTCAATTACGTCTTTTTTTAGTCTATTTTTTGTCTGAGCTGAAGGTCTATCGGAAACGAGCTGAATACACTATTATGTTGTTGTATTCTTTTCTGAGAGTGAAGAATCTCAAAAGTGCAAAATAAAATTCTCTTACGAAAGGGGAAAACGGTTACTCCGTATTTCAAACACCTATATATTATTATTATTAAGAAGGAATTTATGCACATTTTAGGGAATTACTGGACCTAAGATATGGCCATAACCCATAAAAAGGAAGATACCTTGATATGATATGAATATATGGACATAATTTCTTGGACGTCACTTAATGGCCAAAACAGGAAAAAAGAATGTCCATATTTTTTGCTACAATTTCTTGATGTGGAAATGAGAGCAACTAACTTGACACATTTGGTAATGGTAGTGCCTTTGAAATCACTTTTTGAATTGGTTTACGCTAATGGAGAGTGCAAAAGGGACAAAAAAAAATCATACACTTTAGAAACATAATGTGTAGGAAAAACAACGACTTGTTAAGAAGAACCATCTTTACTTCGGAGCATGGATATAGATATTCTTAGAGAGGGTTTGGCTATGGTTAGTTCATAGAAGTATGGAAAATATTCTGAATTCGGCGCAAATTATTAGTTTCATTCTGAACTATTAACAGTTTTAAAAATACCTCTCTAGTTGATTAACTAAACTTATATACACCCCGTCTACCTCTATAGAAGTATTTGGTCAAACAGGCTCTTAGGACCCTCATATTGACCAAATACTTCTATAGTGGGTTCAAAGTTCACTTTGAAGTTTCAAATATAATGTAGTATGTTTTTTTTATATATCAAAATAAATAAATAATCATTTTTGCTTTGAACGGTAAAGAAAAACAAGTAGAGAAGGGTCCTGCCCTCCTCAGTATCACCTGAATCACCTTAACAATGCGTACACGGATTGTCTATTAATAGAAGTTCCAAACAAAATAAACTCAATTTTGTTTTGTCATTTGACAGTATCACCAAATTAAGTTGTCCCCATCAATCGAGCTTGCTGAAAATGACTCCCCTTACGGAGTTATGGTTTGAATGATCTCTCTGTCAGTTCTTGCAATTTGAATAGAAGAAAATTTTCCTATGTGACAAAATTCATATAACTAAAATAACATTTGTACTGAACTATAAGATCAATCTACCTCAAATTTCTATCATTGTAGGTTAAATAACATTAAGGTCACTTGTATTATAAGTAAAATTTCTATTATAAAGATATAAAAAAACTTAACACAGTCAATATACATAACTTAATTTTCTACTTATCTGGTCTTTCCAGCAGCCTTTGCAGTATTCCGGGATTTAACCGGTCTTGATCAAAGCACTGCAGTCTGCACTATAGCGCGAAGCTGGGAAAATGGATACACTCATTTTACAGGCGGATAGCTTCATAATAATCTCCAAAATTATCTGATCCGAGCTCTGTAGAATTCATCATTTTCCTCGTGAAATAGAATGGCTAGCTCTGTTTTTGCAGAGGCCATAAAGAGAGCACCATTGTCATCCTAAAACACTTTCCGTGTCATAACAAGAATCAATTGATGCAGAGGGATGATGACGATAATGATGAAAAGAGCCATTATCTTGGTGTGTGTCATAATATCTGCAAGAATCAACTGATGATGCAGAGGGATGATGCTGATGAATAGAGCCATGTTGTTCGGAACCATAAAATGAATCATCAATGAAAGGAGGCTTTGAAGGAACAGGCACTTCTAAGTTTTCTTGTGTAAGTAGTTTAATGATTGTTGACATATCTAGACGCATAATAGGTGACTCTTGAGTACATAGCAGCGCAATTTGAACCACCCTTACTACTTCATTCACATCTTCTATCTCCATAATTGGATCTATTATCCGATATGCCCTTTTCTCCTTGAAATGTTTCCAAGCCTGCACGTTAAATTAATAAGATAATATCAAACACACAAATTCTGTCAAAAATAGAAATATAAAATGACCTGATTGTGTAACTACGTCTAGAAGTAAATTTGAAAAAGCTGAGTGTTGAGGGGAAATTACAATGGTTACAAGGGTGTCTAGAGTGTCATTGGCTGGAATTTTGTTGAACTCCCGTCCGCTTACTATTTCCAAGATAAGAACTCCAAAGCTATAAACATCCACTTTATCTGTTAATTGTCCTTGAGCAAGGTACTCCGGAGCCATGTATCCGCTGCAGGTATAGGGATTAGCACGGGCTAGGACAAAATGAAGAGTGGTAAGAGGTTAATCCAAATTTAAGTGCTTCATTACATACAATGTGCCTGCAATGACAAGAGGTGCACTTCCTTTTTCCCTGATATTAACTCTGGAAAGACCAATAACATAACAAATAACAATTACATCTCAATTCCAAGCAAGTCGAAGTCAGATATATGAATTATCATTGTCCATGTTGCTCCATTTAAGCTCGTCTTAATAAAAATGAAAAATAGACACTTGTAGTTCTCCATGTTTCCTGGTGACATAAATCTTGAACACGACTAAGAAGGCTCGACTTTTTGAAGGCAATGAACCTAAAGTAAATGCACTAACCTGGCAAGACCAAAATCTGCAATTTTGGGACGATATTTCGAGTCTAGTAAGATATTACTAGGTTTGATGTCTCTGTGAATGATTCGAACTTGGCAATCATTGTGAAGGTATTCTAAACCTTCAGCTGTCCCTTCGACTATTTTGAGCCTTTTCTTCCAATCCAATTCTTTCTTCTTCTTTGGATCTTTCTTCCATGCATACAGTCAAGAAAATCAACTAAGTATGATAGTATTTCTAGTTACAAATGACTTTTCGGGAAAGGAGGAGAAGAATTAAAGATCTTAAGAATAAAATACGTACCAAATAAGATAAGATCAAGGCTTTTATTTTCTAGATACTCATATACAAGAAAGCTGTCATCGGCAGTGAAACAACAGCCAAGAAAACGAACTAAATGCTGGTGTTGGGCTTGTCCAATAATGTCTATCTCATTGGATATCTCTTCATTCCGAATTTTGGTAGTTAAAAACATCCGTTTGATAGCAATTTCTCTACCATCTGGCAAAGTCCCCTACTTCAGAAATATTCTAGACTTATTTAGCAGAACTAACATTGTCAAAGCAGAGAAGCAAAACAGGGGTGAGAAAAACGAAAAGAAAAGAAAAGAAAACGAAGTAGTATGCTTTTATACTTTAAAGACTTCACCAAATCCACCTTGGCCAATCTTGCGTTCTTCACTGAAGTTGTCTGTAGATTTCTCTAGTGTTGAATATTTGAAATGCAGGCTCCTTTTCATAACAGATGACTCAAGATCCGAAGAATCACCATTATGTTTCGTCTGGTGTTTCACTCGTTTTTCATGGAGAGTTGTGCCCACAATATATCCAACCAGAATAGCTATTATGCATACACCAACAGCAACAAGAATAAATACAAGGTACATGAAAATAGCTCCTGCAAAATGAATTCCTTCTTAAGTGAGTTTCCCTTTTGTGCACTAAAAGGGTATACTTATTTTACACTATTTGGTTAACTTACTTAAAACGAACAGATAACTAGAGTTAACTACTTAAAGCGGGTATAATATAGTAACCTGGAAAAATAATACTTAAGATGCTAAAACAAGATAAAATACGCCTATTGTCTTAAGATACAGATGATTAAAGTCCCATAAAAATTTCTCAAGAGCAAGCATGAGATGTAGAGCTGACCTTTAGAATTAAAGAAATTCGAACCATTGCTAGATTCAAATTCTGAGTAACGAAAATAGCAGCCAACGCTAAGGGAGCGTGCCTCAATGGATGGCAAACAATCAAGAACAGCTGTGCTTGCATTTGAAAGGCAATCAGAACATGCTTTTTCGTCCAAAGTATTCCAGCAGATAGCCATGCCATAAACTGATAAACCATATGTTTTCCTTCGTCCTTCTGCATAGCCACCGTGAACTGGGGCCATGGTTACCACATCCTTGACGACTTTGGTAGCGACATCCCTAAATTGATCATTCTTCAAGTTCACTGCATCACTGCATCTCTTCATTCAAATTTAACCAAAAAAGATAACCATGAGGACCATAAACAAGCTAGCCATTGTCAAATTTGTTAAACATATACTTCCTCTGTTTTAATTTGTTTGGCCTACTTTCCTTTTAGTACGTTTCGAAAAGAATGATTCTTTCCCTTTCCAGCAACTCTTTGTTTCCAACTCATGACATATTTAAGGACACAAGATTAAAAAAACATATTGGTATATTTGACAAGATTCAAAAGTTTTCTTTATTTTCTTATCCTCACAGTCAAAATAGGCCAAACAAATTGAAACGAAGGCAGTGATTACTTAAATAAAGTGAACCTTCCCTAATAGCTTAATTTTTAGATGAGGGGTCACACACTTCTAACATGTATTGTATCAAACAGACACACACACCGTCACCCATTCTCTAAAAGAATTTCCACGTGTTTTGCTCATGAAAAAAGAATTAGGCCATCATGTTAGGGATCATGTTGAATATATAATTAACTAACTAAAACTATACCCTATACCCTGTCCTAATGGCTTAAACTATCAGTCAAATGAGATGATAACACATTTCTAATCAAGTACGGAGCTACATGATGCCAAACCGGTTCAAATCATAGCGTGCAAATAGGAAAATCACATTTAACATGAGAGAATCTGCCTATGTTGCTCGGAGTCTTTAAAAATATTGATGGTGCATGTGACACTCCAAAAGTAGTACATTTCGGAAGATCTGACATGAGTGCTACAACAATTTTGAAGAATCCGAGCAACATAGGATATAACAATTCTTGTTGTTTTTTAAAGATAAATCCCCAAATATAAAATTTGAATAAAAAAAAAATAGCAAGAAAAAGAAAAAGGGTAAAGAGAAATTACTTTAACGTCATGGGGAGAAGAGGATTCATAAAAAAAGCTATAATTCTCGAATCTCATGAAACACCCATCGAAGAAAACTCGACCGCTGATATGGGGAAAACAACCAGGCAATTGGGTTTTAATGGCAGAAAAACAAATCTGACAATCTTCTTTAGATAGATCATCCATACATTGAGCCAAAACGAAAATTCGATTCGGAGCTAATCCTTCTCCGTAAATTGAGAATTTGTTGGATTTTATCTCGGGTTCCATAGCTACAATTGCATTTGCATAATTTTGGTTGAATTCTGAAACATTATCAGCTTGCTCCACACCGCAGAATTTATAAACGAGCTCTGTTCGAGGATTCGCAATAGCAGCCGGAAGAATCGAAAAGATTAAACACAAAACGATGACGATGACATTGGCCATAGAAATAATAGGTGATCGATCATCTTCCTTTTTTCATTTTTTTTCTTATTTTCTGGGTTTCTGTTGTGTTTTCATATTTTGGGGAAAATTTATGTTTTTTTGAAAAAATTCTGAATTGGGTTTGTGATGAATTGATGTATAATTAAACATATTTAATTTTCATTTTTACTACTTATTATCATGTTAAACGATCCAGAGATCAAAATAATAAAACAGATTATAAATGATAAGTTATAAGCTCGTCTAAATATGTTCTTAATCAAGAGAAAACAATTCTTGCTAGTTACTCGCTCTGTCCACTTTTATTTGTTATGTTGCATTTTTCGAAAGTTAATTTGACTAATTTTTAAAATTAAATTAGATTGTATTAATTCGATATTTTAAACAAAAAAATTTAGATATTCAAAAACTATACGAAAAGTATTATAAATTTCAATTTTTTGCATATCAATATAATGAAAAGATATATAATAAAATGTTAGTTAAAGTTTTTATAGTTTGACTCTAAAAATAAAAACTATGACAAGGCATATCTAAATTGGGTTGAGACTTTTATTCTAAAACCAAATCAAAAGAATTACTTAGACATCTTCGTAGAATCTATATGATAATAGAATGAAAACTTATTTCCTTACTTGTAAATATCATTTAATCTATATGATCTTCTTCTTTTTCTTCTATTATATTTTCTTTAATCTAGTCTACATTGATTCTAAGAAATTATATAAATATAATTCTTTATGTAATTTATATCATTAAATAATAATAGTGTGCTCTCTTTAACAACTTAAGCTTTAGATGAGATGGTCATACACTTTAACATGGTATCAGAGCAGATAGAGGTCCTAAGATCGACTCTCACCATCAAAGAATCAGACCGGGAACGTAAGAGACGTGTTGAGAAATATCATTAAATAATAAAAGTGTGCTCTCTCTAACAACATTTTCACACAGCGTAGTAATTTCTATCTTGTATAATTTACATAAAATGCTTAACATGTTTATATGACACAAAATATATGATCGTGTTTTAAAATATAGGCTCGAACATAAAGAATGTTTTAGGTTGATGTGATTCATCGATATTCTTTATAGGCCTTCAAATCAATATTTGTTGTCCAAATACATTCCTTTGGGAAGAAAGAATTAAGACATGGCATTGAAATCACTTTACTAAAGATGAAGTAATTGCATTGACAGTTCAGTATAAACCAACAAAATGTAGCTGGATTAATTAGAAAGTACTTATAGTTCATGGTTTCTAGTCCACAAAGTGAATTCTTTGAAATTAATTATCATCCATTGGTTTTGCTTTAAGTCATGGTATCTCTTTTATAGATAGAAAGCTAGCAAAATCCCACAAAGAACATGCCAATTTGTACTTAATTTGGCTTCAAAGTACAAGAGAAATTAACTCTTCCACATAGTAATAAATTCAAGTGTAGACTTAACTGGAAACAGTACATGTGGCAACAATCTTCATTCTCTTTTTTAGTCATGATGATGAGGTCACATTCACAAAAGCAACCCGTACTCCATCCGTTTCAATTTGTTAGTCAATTTTCGCCTTTAACTTTAACGTATGGCTTGCCAGCACCAATGTCAAACCTCATCATCAGTTTATCAGAAAAAATAACAAATGTAACAAATTCATCTTGTAATTATGATGATTTTTTAAGTCAAATTTTCTTTTTTACTTCTTTCTAGAAGCCCCTATCATTTTTGCTCGCTTCGTGATTCAGACTCACAATTTTTGAGTCTGAAGTGAGATGTGCTTACCATTCGATCAATTCTTTCCTATTGCAATAATGGTGATTTGCCATTATATTCAAGACTTATTTAATATAAATAATTCATTTTTTATATTAAAAATTTCTTCGAATTATAATTCAATTTGATACAGATTCAAAAGAAAAAATTCTATTGTACAATAATTAAGAAAAAGATTTTTAAGAAGAAGTAGTTGAATAAGAAGAAGCAAAGAGCAAACATGCAAATTTTATTTACAGTTTGTTAATATTGGATATTAGTTAAATATTCTTAAGAAAATGAAAATAAATATAAATTTAATAAAGTGAAATTTCACAACAAAAGTTGGACAGTAATATTCAACTCATTTTAACACTTCAATTCAACATAAACCATTCATTTATCATCCATTATGGTATGGGCATTCTATCATATCAACACAACATTAACTTATGTCCACATACAACTATATAAAAAAAATAGGAATGACAATGGAATGGAGTGGATTTAAATTTATGCGAACGCGAGGAGGGAGACACGATTGCAGATGTGGAGCATATATATATATATATATATATATATATATGAAGTTGTATCAAAACGATTTTTTTTTATAAACCAATTCAGTATTATTTTATTTTTTTTGCGAACTCACTAGTATAAATTTTGAACTTCTAAACTAACCTATATACGATTTCTTTATTTTTGTTTTGTTCCTTTTGGTTAAATTTGAATTTAAGTTTTTTCTCTAAAATTATAAAATTTGTACATCACCTTTTTTTTTTTTTGGTGAACGAAAAGACAATTTATTGACTTTTTACATTATATTTAGCATATTTATAAATTGGATTTTCAATATTTTTTTCCGTTCCAAACATTTTGTAATATGATTTGGGCTTGGATATCATCTTTTTGAAATCTATTTGTCTTCTAATAGTCAATTTAAAGTTATTAAAGAAAAAATAATTAGCAGAAATTTTAAGACAAAATACATAAATCTAATTTGAATAAGATCCAAAATGGCGTAGATCCGATTCCGAACGAGATGGTGAAACTGATCTCTCCACCATACTTAAAAGTCTATTTCTCTTAAAATGTCCAATCAACTTAACATTCATCTAATCCTAATCATATATAAGCACAAAATAAAATGTAACTTGAATGTTTAAGCTAAATAATAATATAAAAATAATGGTTAAAATTTTTTATGTGAGTTGGGGCGAAATAAAGTCTTCACAAATTTATGCGAAAATAAAAATTAAGAAAGCTTATACTAGACGAGAGAACTAAATAAATGTGCATGACAGAGCAATAGCGGAAGAAAACCCAAGTCACACTTTCTCTTCTATTTGAACCAAGAGAAGACAAAAAAAGGCAAGAATAAAATTTTTTAATCCTGCAAGTATTATGACCAACAACAAGCATGTCATCAACATAAAGCAAAACGATAATAAAGTCATCAGAGAATTTTTGCACAAAAACACAATGGTCTGAAGAAGTCTTCTTGAAGCCCTGCTGACTCATAAAAGAACTAAACTTCGTGTACCATTGTCTGGGAGCTTGTTTTTGACCATACAAGCTCTTCTTCAATTTGCAAACATAATTCTCTTTTTCCTTGACTTCAAAGCCTTCCGGCTGCTCCATATAAATTTATTCATCCAAGTCATCATGGAGAAAAGCAGTTTTAACATCCATCTTGTCACGCCCCGAGCCTACACCCAGGGCGGGATCGGCACTCGAAGACCATTGCTGGCCCCAAGCGAACCCTTGGCCTGACTTTCTTAACTCAGCGGAAATTTAACTTAACAGCATAACTCAATGCAAGGAAAGGTTAAAAACAACCCAACTGATAAAATCTAGCCAAAACGGCAATTCGAGTCTCAAAATAAAATATTTACATATATATACACAAAAGAGAGACTCAAACTAACTGACTGTCTGTCTATGAGGCCTCTAAAGTACTGAGATGGATGTTGGGACAGACCCTACAACATCCTAATAAAACAAAACTTAAGAATACAAAATAATTGAGTCCTCCGGAAAGCAAAAAGGCTCACCACTGACTCTGAACTGCTCAGCTGGATCAACGACGTGCAGGATGCTGATCCGGTGTACCTGTATCTGCATCGTCATAAGATGCAGGCCAACTGGCATCAATACATTGAATGTACGAGTATGCGAGCTGAAAAACTAAGCAACATAGGATAGAAGGAAATCTGGAAGAAACTGAATAGCTTACCTGGCTCAACTCAACCTGACTGACTTCTTTCAATATAAGGCAATTTAAAACAAATGCGCTATAAAGAAAGACTGCTTTAAACATGCTATAAACTCTGAGTGTATACAAAGATACAATAAGCCTGAGATGTATATAGAAATACAATGATCGGATGTATATAAAAATACAATAATTTATGTGTATGAAGATACAATAACTGCTGTGGGAGTTTCTTTAACCGACAACCATCACTTAAGAGCTATAGTGATGATACAACGATCGACCTCACGCTGCCAGAGCATCTTACACCCGGCCAAAGGTATAAGACTTGAACTGCCTAATGGATCCACTAGTCTATCTGGAAAAGGACTCATCTAAAAAGTATGACCTTTTTCTACCCATTGTGGCTAACATGGTTCTATGGGGGCTATGGGTTCTTTGAACACTCCCCCAATTCGGTGCTCGATACTACTCCCAAAAAATGCACTGGCTCTTATGTTTTTAAAACATATGATTTCCTACTAATTGAGATAATTACTCAAAAACTAGCCCGAAGGCTCTTTGGAAATCTCAGTTTCCAACCTTGTTTAAATGTAAAAACATTTCTTTAAAACTTCTTTGGGAATACATAGTTCCCTAATAACTGAGGAATGAACTCAACTTTATGTTCTTGACTTAACTTGAAACTCTATACTCTTTACTCGACTTGAAACTTGAGCCTTAGAATGAAGTTAAAACGTTCAATAAAGACTCTTGAACAACTCTAAAGACTTGCTTGAACTTACTTCTTAACTTGCTTAACTTGACTCTAACTTCACTTGACTTTGATCCAAACTCGCCTCGAATTGAATCATGGATTCAAGGTATATGATCGCATGTTTATAGATGAGTTCGGGAGGTTTAAATGTACATTAGAGTGTTGGAAACATCTAGGAAACATAGGTACAATACCTAGGAACATGCATGAGAAAGTGTGGAAAGAAAGGGAGAACATGGCGTCCTTGGCGCTCTGTAAGGCGCGGAGCGCCAGCCC